CGTGTTTTGTGAAATGTGAATCTTATTTAAAGATAGTGTAACTTTAGACTAATCAATTTTCCATATATAAAAGTTAGTGAATCATTGTAATTTGAAATTGATATTCATGCCTAATACAAAAGTTTTTTACTTTAAACAGTTGGTCAGTTTTGATAACATTCAAAAATATAAAAGGCTTCATTGAAAGTACTTAGCATAAACACATAATTACAAAAACAATAATATAATCAAACAAAAATAATTGTAATTTTCAAAAGTGAAATTTGAAGAGGGATAGAGATAGAGTGTACACATATCATATCCGTATTTCTTAGAGATAAAGAAATTATTTCCAATAAACACCAAACTTATAATAAAGCATATTCCAACAAATAGGAAAAAGAAATTTGGGTAAATGAGAATTGTAGCAACAACAAGATAAGTGAAAACACATGATTAAGAATTAAAATCAATCTAGTAGTTTTGCTAGGACGCAAAAACCCCAAATAAAAAGGCATGTATGAATAATTGAATAGAGAGTTACACATCATTTAGATAATCCAATAAGTTGCTAGAAAAATTTATATGATGACAGAAAATATACTCTGCTTACAATATGTTCTTTGCTACCAAAACTAACTAAACTAAGATAGTATAAAAGAATAATAAAATATGTAAATACAAGTGAAACCAAATTAAAAATATGATTATAACTAGATTTTGTTAAATACAAGTGAAACCTAATTAAAAATATGATTATAACTAGATTTTGTAAAAATGCTTGAGCATGATAGTAATTGGACTTTGAAAATGATTATTTATAAGTACTTAATAAAGGTGAATAAATACAAAGACAGTAATAAAAAACCTATCATTAACTACTTTATTTATGAATTTCATACTAATAGAAATATCTGAGATAGAACTTGGAACTTACTATCCTCTTGCCTAGCAGACAAAGATCTACTTCCGTGGAAAGGCTGATTTATGCGGATCAACATGAGAGTCCAACTACATTGCCATAATCCATGTTGTATATTTGAAAGAGGTTGACCTCCTTACTTATTTCATGTTATACTCCTCTTCCTGCCAAACCCCTTTTCTCCTCAGTCCACTAAGACAAAATGTAGGACTGGTGTCAATAATTCATCACGGTCCGCATGTAGCAAATGATACAATGATAATTACGCAATATAATAACAACAAAATAAAGCATAGAACACATATTTTTAGCACAAAAGTAGACAAAGATAGCTTAAAAAATATTTTGGCCTCGCAAATAAAAGAGGCTCGTAAAAAAATGAAAATGAAGGATAAAATTGGGTGTCAACAATTATTTTTTTATTGAGATAAAACTACACATATTTTTGCCTGAATTGTTGTTTTATGAAAGCCAAATATAAAGTAATTTTGCCCGTAATTTTGGTATGACTTACTAAGGTCAACTATAACACTTGACAAATTTGAATTAGATTTGAGTCATTAAATTTCATTGCTTTGACTGAGCTATGCTAAAGCAAATGTAAATATATGTAAAAGCTAATATCTTATCATGTACATGGTGTACAAAAAGGTTGAAATCAAAGAGAATTTAAAATATCAAATTTTGATCGTCGAGGTATGATGAATATATGGACTGTAAATGTGACACGCGGACAGTCTGCATGTCCAATAATATATGAGGTTTAGAAGGTTATAGATTTTGAAGTGGAACTAAAGAATTTTAATAAATTTTTGAGGCATTTTAGGAAGAAATTAAACATATATTGTTATGAAATTTTAATTTAAATCGAAGGTTGTTTAACAAAAGTGATATTATAATAAAACTCTCATATTTAGGCTCGTTACTCGTAAGACTTCAACATGGGACGACAGACAATCTTAAACACCCAGTGTGTTACATCCTTTTCCCTTGGGATCATTCATCCTCGAAATATGACAACACATTAATCATCTACTTTCTCAAACAAAGGTCTTGGGCATTCAAACTCACATAATTCTACCTTTTTAGAAGGTCTAATCAATTATTTAAAGACTATTTTATTAAATCGGAGGTTTGCATGATCATATCAATCTCATTCATAAAGCTTCAACCACATTAACTTCTCTTGAACGGTTCATATGCTTAAAAAGTCATTTTAATGGGATTTCTAGGTTCCTCAAATTCATAATTAAGGCTAGGTTTATAATTCTATACTAGTAGACAGTTTAACGGACTAAAATTGAAAATTATTCATAATTAACCTACCCCACATATTGTGCCATTAAAATAATAATTCTAGGTTTCAATGTGTCAAAACCTATGAAGAGCATATCTTTCAATTCAGGGAGGACATCGAAGTATGGAAGGAAAAAATGAATGAACAAAAAACACTTACCTCAAGAGAGAAAATCACCAAGTCTTAGAAAAATCTCCTCTAGGGTTCTCTGGTAAAAAAATTTACGTTATGACTAAGTCTGAATGAAAACTAAAACTTAAAAACACGAGTTACTATTTCCCGACCATCACTATAGCGAAACTTCGCTACCTTCTCTATGTAGCATTCCTTCGTTATAGCAATCTCGCTATTTAAAGAAAGTGTTCACTATAGTGAAGCACTAGTTGAATTTCACACTCGATTTTCCATTTCAAGATTTCTACCAACTCTTAACCCAGTGAGATCTACACAAGGGTACTATCGCCCTAAACAATCATAACGATGGAACAAGTCGTTACATATTTGCTGAATAATCTTAATTGTAGTCAAATAGTTGTTATCTACTGAAACTTTGTTGAGGGGGAGTTTTCTGTATTGAGGATAATGAGTATGTTGTTTTATGCAAATTATCATATTTTGTCAATAAAACAATAAAGTCATGAGTGTCGGACAAAATGTTAGCTAGTTTTGGACATCATTCTGTTTTCATTATTTTCATTTGGAAAAAACTTCATACTTTTATCTGAATTATGATCTTACGAAAGCCAAACATCAAATATTTTTGCCCAATAATTGGTATGGCTTACCAAGGTTAACTGTAACACTTCAAAAATTTGGATTAAATTTGAGTCATTAAATTTCATTGCTTTGACTCGAGCTATGTTAAAGCAAATGCAAATATGTAAAAGTTAATTTCTTATCGTGTACAAAGAGTGCAAAAAGGTTGAAATTAAAATATCAAATTTAGATCGTTGAGGTATGACATATATACAGACTGTACATGTGAAACGGGAACGGTCTGCATGTCCAATCATATATGAGGTTTAGAAGTTAGAAATTTTCAAATGGAACTAAAGAATTTTCATAAATTTTTAGGCATTTTAGGAAGAAATTAAACATATATTGCTATCAAAATTTCAATTTAAAACAGATATTGAACAAAAGTGGTGTTAAAATAAAACTCTCATATTTAGACTCATTACTCGTAAGTTTTCAACATGAGACGACGGACAATAATAAAACTCTCATATTTAGACTCATTACTCGTAAGTTCTCAACATGAGACGACGGACAATCTTAAACATCCGGGATTTACATCCTTTCCCCCTTAGGAACATTCATTCTCTAAATATGACTACACATTAATCATCTTCTTTCTCAAACGAAGGCCTTGAGTTTTCAAACTCACATAATTTTACCTTTTTAGAAGGTTTAATCAATTATTTAAAGATGATTTTATCAAATAGGAAGTATGCATGATCATAACGAAGTTGTGAAGTTTCGCTATAGAGAAGGTCGGAAAACAGTAACTCACGTTTTTATGTTAGTTTTTGTCCGTACTTAGTCATAATGTAAAATATTTGACCAGAGAACCCCAGAGGAGAGTTTTCCAAGACTTGGGGTTCTTCTCTCTTGAGGTAAGTGCTTTCCGTACATTCATTTCTTCCATAATTCAGTTTCCTCCCAGAACTGAAAAGAATATCCATAGGATTTTATCCATTGAAATCTAGGGTTATTATTTTGATGGCACAACATGTGGGGCAGGTTAGTTATGAATTATTTTCAATTCTAGTCAGTTAAATTTTGTCTTTCTAGTATAGAATTATGAACCTAGACTACCTAGAAACCCCCATAAAATTGATTCTTTGAGCATATGAATTTCTCAACGGAAGTTAATGACGTTGAAATAGTGATCTACTATTACAAAGAAAGTGTCCGCTATAGTGAAACACTAGCAGATTTTCATACTCGATTTTCAATTTCCAGATTTCTATCGACTCTTGACCCACGGAGATCTACACAAGGGTACTATAGCCCTAAACAATTATAATGACGGAATAGGTCATTACACATCTGCTGAATAATCTTAATTGTAGCCAAATAGTTGTTATCTACTGGAACTTTGTTGAGGGAGAGTTTTCCTTGTCATATTTTTGTTGATAAAACAACAAAGCCATGATTGTCAGACAAAAATGTTAGCTAGTTTTGGACATCATTCTGATTACATTTGGACAAAACTTCACACCATACCAGACCAGTTTTACTGTTATGAACTCTACCAAGTTTTGATGTGATGATGGGGGTAAGGTGCTAATTTTTTAAGCTTTTGTTGTTGCCAGAACTATGTAGTATGGTTCGGCAACTGCCTTGATCGAAATATTGGGGCTTTATGGAGAATCTCTTATTTTCTGAACAGGTAGACCTAAATGGTCTATGAGAGTCATTCAGGGAGGATATGGGATAGTTATGAAAAGGGCAAAGTAGACGGCAAATCAATTTATAGTCTTGGTTTTATTTCAAAAATTCATGTCCAGACTACTTGCTTGACTAATACCTGCATAACCAATACCCGCATAAGTAATACATGCATAACTAAACCCTACATAAGTAATACTTCCATAACTAATACCCACATAACTCTATCCAACTACCAAACAACTATGGAAAGATCGAAGCAATGAAAGCAGAGTGGTTGCTACTAGTAATGTCTTGTCATTGCAAACAAATACAGGAAGATGGTCATGTTAGTTTGCAACAACACACAGCTGCTTCCATATTATCATACACAATAGAGGACAAGCTTAAAGAAGTTGTAGTAGCTTAAGCTATTCAAGAATCCAATGGTCCATAAAGAACTAATGGGGTGGTGGGTTAAAGAATGTACATTTTGGGATAGAATTTTTGTTCTGGATGGTGATCAAACATCATCAGCATCACTTCCTACAACATGAGTATCATGACTAGCCCAGTAATGGCTTCCATCAGGGCCACAAATCTTAAACCTGTTGAGTATAAAAGAAAGTACCTCAGTGAGGACTTATGATATGTTCCTAACTCAATTCTAAAGAAAACTGAAGTAGTCAACTGACCGCTCAAGCACTGATTTTCCTTCTTTGTACTTTTGGCTCTTCTCATGGGCGGTCTCCTGAAAAGAATTGTTATATTAGGAACAAATAAAACTTCTAGCTACTGCCAAATGACAATGTCTAGCATTTTATCACTCCATACTCACATATTTCCATCCAACAATTGACCCACAACAGACGCAGACAATGTCTGCCACAGTGTGCATACCAGTCATCATCACTCTATCTTCTATCTCGCCAGAAGTGACATTCACCCTGTCAAAAGAAAAAAAAAAGGAGTATAGAATATACAGAACTACAAAGTGCATTATCATTTTGTATGTTTCTGCTAAATGATAAAATGAAATGAAGAGATTTGAGTAGAGTAGAACTCTTGAACAGGAAAGTAATCAAGTTGAGCATAATATATGTATTTCAGCCATGTAACTATTGTAATGCTGCTACCAAGTGGAAAATAACCCAAGTCAAGTAAGAATTTATTCTATATATTGATGTGTTAATATTTGTACTCCTGGAAAATACACTCAAAATTACACGATATAATAGTCTGGTAAAATCCCCACTAGGTTCTATAGTGATTCCAATAGATCAAATTCTGGTGCTAATTTTATAGTCAATGACACAAATGTATGAAGATATACATATAAAGTACCATGTCTTTAACAAACTAAACCTACAAGGTATAGCCTACCTTGTTCAACTTTTCATGTGCACTCAAATATTCTAGGTTGGTTATGAGTTATGACCTTCCATAATAATAATGACTCAGAGCTGATAACAAAATCAAAGATCCTGAGAGCAATGTCAATGACACAAATGTATGAAGATATAAATATAAAGTACCATGTCTTTAACAAACTAAACCTACAGGGTATAGCCTGCCTTGTACACAACTTTTCATGTGCACTCAAATATTCTAGGTTGGTTGTGACCTTCCATAATAATAATGACTCGGAGCTAATAACAAAATCAAAGATCCTGAGAGCTATGTGACCCACGTAGAGTAAAAGCCAAATAATTTGCACATACTCCAGTTGCACTCAACTTTTGAAAAACAAATCTTTTTTCATTTCAAATCATCTTTTTTCACTTTCTAGTTTAACAGTGTCCTCCACACCAGTAAAAGAAGGGGTGGAAGTCAAATAAGAGGATTTATATGGTTGCTTTTTTCATCTTTCTGTACCAGAGGTATGGATAAGCTTGACCTTAGTAATATCATTGTTCATCTAACCAAGCTACAAATAACTCATGTCCCATCAATGCCAAGAAAAGCTCAACAACAATCAGAGGAAATAAATGGTAATTCATACTCTAACAAGAATAAAACCAATAGAAGTTGTAAGTTGCACTTGTGATTTTCATGCTGCAAGTATAAAGATTGGACGTGTGCAAATGTCAGAAACATTTCTGGTGCTTGAGTGTGCAGAATCAAAGAGACTTACACCTTACTGAAGAGATAAGCCTTCCCATGTCTGCAGTGGAAAGACTGAAGGAAAACATATAGTTAGATAACTTCATGACTCAGAATGACTACATACATTATTTAGGGGCTACAACAAGAATGTAACATAAACTTCAATATAATTAATTGCAGAATCAACATTTCACTCCATTCAAAAGCATTTGAATTTTCTAAGAAACAGTAGTTTCAAACCTCCAACACTTGAAAATGTGCTCTGATTTTATGCTATAGAAGTCATATGGAATTCTTCATAGAAAGTCATGAATGCACATTACAATGAAATTAAGCAAAATAACGTAACCACACAAGCACCAAATTGATCAAAATGTAGAAAATAGATCAGCCCCAAGACCTGATCAATGGACTGGGCATAACAATAATAGTTGGAAATATTGAAGCCACTAGCACACAAACATGGAACAAATGGAAAATGCCAATCAAGTATACTCCAAGTATCAGACTCAACAAACAACTCCTCTAATTCATCACTGGATTAAGAAGGAATATTGTATGGTATGCTATCAGCAATAATAACTACTATGTTTTTAAAAGTTCACAAAGAATGCTCATACAGTGCCTTTTACTCCAAAACCAGCAACTCCACAAAAACCCAGCTCTTTGATGCTAAAAAAGTCATCTCCTTTAGGGAAAAATTACTCAATCTGAGACCTTCTTCACTCACATAGCTGATTTAAAGTAGCCAATTTTTATATACATCTAAAATTACTTAAACAGACCAACAACAATCCCTAACAAGGGATTAGTCGGGGCTCAAAGAGACTCAGACACCCGGTGCAAATAAAAAAAAAAAAAACAATCCCTAACAAGTCTAGAAACGAACCCAAACCACCGATCAAGCCAAAGATTGTATTTTTACAACGAAATAAATCAAAATCAAAATTAAAACAATCCCAATTTCAAGAAATCACAATAACAGAGTGATCAAACAGAAAAGATGGAGGAAAACCTTGGAAACAATGTTCTCAGAAAGGGCAAGATGAGTTCCACAGTGCTTGCAGCTGTAGATCTTGCCTTCAAGAGTCAACACAAATAATCTCCCCATCAAAAGATTTTTGAGATCACAAGAAAATTGAAGAACGAAAATGGAAAAGGAGTTGTCCAAAAAGGGGTAATAGTTTTTGTTTCGGTTGGAAGATAGTAAGTAACGTCGAAAAAGGGAAAGGTTTCAATGTGTGAGGGACTCTGAGAATAATTTAGTGCTACTTTCTTTTTTTTCCTTTTTAGTCCATTTAAAAAATGGAAAAGATAAAAAATATACTTAAATTAAGTATAAATTATTTGAAATGAATAAAAATGCTACTCCATTATTTATAAACAAAATTACCTTTCTAGTCAATACATTGGTACAAATATCCTTATCGTTGATAATTTGGTCCAAAAGTACCCTTGTAACACCCAGCTACTTGAAAGAACTAAAATTAGAATAAAACCGTTTTTGGAAATAATTAAATTTGGAAATTTTGGGAAGTTATGCAAAGTATGAGTTTTGGGTCAACTTCAAACGACCATAACTCCTAGCACACGATGAGTAGGTGGGCTACAAGATACCATATGAAAGATTTTTGAATTATCTTTCTAACGCCACCGAGTTTGCTCATTTTCAAGTTCGTATGAGGGAGATATGCCCGTTTGAAGTCGGGTTGTCTGGATAAGGAAAGTCAACCGAATTTTAGAAGGGTATTTTGGTATTTTCATTACCCAATTAACTAAATTCATTTTTAGTAATTTAATTAGGGTCTAAACTGATTTGGTTCAATTTAGACAGTTACAATTCACGCTAGGGTTTTTAGAAAAGAGTTCAAGAAAAGAAAAGGGGAGAAAAGAGGAGAAAGGTCAAGATTCGTCGATTTCTTGAGGATTTGGTTGTGGATTTCGCCAAGGGTTGATCCCTAAAAAGGTATGTATGTTCACATAGCGTTGGGTTCATTCACCCACGCACCAATCATGTTAATTTCAACGTTAAATTCGATCTAGAAAGTTGAAGGTTAATGTTCTTGATTTGTGTTCTTGAAATTGACTTTGTTCTTGAGATTGGGATGAGATTGATGAGTTCTTGAAGAAATCATTGTCGATTTTAGGGTTGTGTTTGATTAGATTCTTGTGTACATATATTGGGTATCTGAATCTAAAAAGAAATTGAGAAAAAGAATCAACATTAGTCGAGTTAAGATAAAAAACGAGAAGAAAAACTCATCCGGTTTAATTACCTGGGGCAGAGCTGGCGCGATGCGCCACTGATATGCCAGTAGTGCGCCAAAAAGCAGTCTCTGAACTTCAGGGGATGGCGCCCCGAGCCAGCAGTGTGCTCGGGTCGTCTGCCCCTACCCTTTTTTCGTTGCTTAGCCCGTCTGAGTCTTTTTAAAGTGTACTAACACTTCCTATTGATTCTAACTACTCTAAATGACTTCTAAACATCTAGAAATCATCCGTAAACACGAATCATAACCTTGAATCCATAAAATCAAATTCAAGGAAAGTTAAGAGCCAAGTCTAGAGAGTTCTTAGAATATTTTCAAAAGTCTTTTGCAAACGTTTAAACTTGTTTTAAAGACTTGAGCATTGAGTTGAGTAAGAAGCAAGAGTGAAGTTCATTTCTTCAAAAGACTATATGGGAACTAAGTATTTCCAAGAGTTAAAATATTTTCACATTTAGATAAGAGAGGAAACACCGATTTCTAAGACAGGAAATATTGATTTCCAAGAGAGCTGTTAAGCTAGTTTTTGAGTAATAATCTCAAACCACAAAAATAGTTATGTTTTTAAACATATGAGCTAGTATATTTTGGGAGTAGTATTGAGCATCGATTTGGGGACAAATTTGAGTTCAGACAATTCAAAGTCTTCAAAACCATGTAGCCAACATGGGTAGAAAAGGGTCATACTTTTTAGATGATTCTTTAATGCTTTTAGCATAGACTAGTGGATCCACTTAGTGAATTAGGTTCTATAACCCCGACAAGGTATAAGACGGCCCTAGCAGCGTGAGGCAAGACGTTGTACCATCACTTAAGCTCATAAAGATAGTTGTCGATTAGAGAAACTCCCACAGAGATATTTTTTATTCTTATATACACAGAGTTACTTGTATTTTCATATACAAATTGAGTTATTGTGTGTTTTTCAATACACTGAGTTATTATCTTCATGTTTTAAAGTTTTTATTTATATTGCATCCTTATTACTACTTTATATTGAAATGAGTAGAGTTGAGTTGAGACAAGGTAAGTTCTTTCAGTTCTAGTTCAAGCTTATGTTATGTTTATATTTCCCCTCGCATGCTCATACATTCAATGTATTGATGCCATTTGGCCTGCATTATTTTATGATGTAGATATAGGTAACCAGAATCAATATCCAGCGCCTCGTTGATCCATTTGAGCATTTAGAGTCGTTTGGTGAGCCTTCTTGCTTTCCGGAGGATCCCTATTTACATTGCTTTAGTATTTTCAGTTATTAAGATGATCGGTGGTCTTGTCACGACATCCCTCATAGTTTTAGAGGCTTCACAGACAACTAGTTAGTGCATTTGTCTTTACATTTTCATTCTGTTATGTTGAGACTTGAGTTTGCCTTATTGGCCAGTTGAATGTTTCCTTTATAACATTCTAGTTTTATTACATGGATTTATCTTTGTTGAGTAATGTCTTCCGCTGAGTAGTAAGCCAGGCCAAGGGTTCGCTTGGGGCCAGCAATGGCTCTCGAGTGCTAGTCCCGCCTAGGGTGTAGACTCGGGGTGTGACAAACTTGGTATTAGAGCACAGAGTTCAAGAGTCCTAGGGAGTCTATAAAGCTGTGTCTGTAGAGTCCTAGTTATCAGTGTGAAGCGCGCCACATCTATAATTAGAAGGCTGCAACATTTAGAAACTATCTCACTTCTTTCATACTCATTTCGTGCGATAGAGTTTATCTCTATAAAGTTTCTTTCTAACTCATGTTTGCGCGTGTCTTTCAAAGCATGCCTCCACGAAGAGCTGTCAGAAGTCGTCCCGCTAGGAGGAATGTGGAGGAATAAGGGGTACCTAATGCACCTGAAGTGCAACCCCAAGGAGAAATCACCAATGATGAGTTCCATGAGGCCATCTGGATGTTGAGCCAAGTTGTGACCAACCAAGCTGGGCAACAAAGAGAGAATAGTCAGGAAGGGGTTGATACTTCTAGGATCCGTGAGTTTTTAAGGATGAATCCTCCAAGCTTCACTGGTTCAAGTGTCACTGAGGATCCGAAGAACTTTGTAGAGGAACTGCAGAAAGTGTTTTGAGGTTATGCATGTTGCCGATGCTGAGCGAGTGGAACTAGCTGCATATCAACTGAAGAGTGTTGTTATTCTGGTTTGACCAATGGAAGAAGGGTAGAGCTGAGGATGCACCAATAGTGAGTTGGGTTGTGTTCGAGAGTGTCTTCATGAGGCGTTTCTTTCCCTGTGAGCTAAGATAGGCAAAGGTAAGAGAGTTCCTCACTCTTAAGCAGGAATCTATAAGTGTTCATGAGTACAGTCTGAAGTTCACCCAACTTTCCCGCTATGCTCCGGAGATGGTTGCTGACATGAGGAGCAGGATGATTTTATTCGTTGCTGGGTTGTCTCGTCTGTAAGTAAGGAAGGCAAGGTAGCTATGCTGATAGGGGACATTGACATAACAAAGTTGATGATCCATGTGCAATAGGTTGAGGAAGATAAGCTGAGAGATAGAGAAGAGTTTCAAAACAAGAAAGCTAAGACATCAGGGAATGAGTTCGGGCAGTAGAAGAGTAATGCCAACCAGTATTCTTTCCAACATAAGCAAAAAGGACCTGCTCCATCATTTGCTAGTGCACTTGCACCAGGGAACGGAGGTGAGTTCAACAATCAAATTCATAAAACTTCATATCTAGACCTGCACAATCTCAAGGTAGTGTTGCACAAAGAGGCAATGAGATTTTTGCATGTACTAGTGTGGTAGGACCCACTCAGGGGTGTGTCGTGATGGCTCTACTAATTGTTTTAAGTGTGGTCAGAATGGTCACTTTATGAAAGAGTGCCTTAAGAACAGACAAGGTAATGGTAATGGGGGCAATAAAGCCTAATCTTCTTCAATTTCTCCACCAGACAGAGTTGCACCTAGAGGAGCTACTTCAGGGGCAGGCGAAGGATCAAACTACCTTTATGCTATCATTAGTTGTCAAGAGCAAGAGAATTCTATAGATGTTGTCACTGGTATGATCAAAGTCTTTAGTTATGACGTTTATGCTTTGCTAGATCCAGGAGCGAGTCTATTTTTTGTGACTCTATATGTTGCAATGAATTTTGATGTTCTTCCTGAGCAACTTATTGAGCTCTTCAGTGTTTCTACACCTGTTGGTGAGTCTATTCTAACTGAGAGAGTCTATCGTGATTGTACCATTTACGTCAATCACAAGAGCACCATAGCTGACCTAGTTGAGTTAGACATGGTAGATTTTGATGTCATTCTAGGTATGGACTGGTTTCATATCTGTTATGCCTCAATCGATTGTAGAACTCGAGTAGTCAAGTTCCAGTTTCCTAATGAGCCAGTTATTGAGTGGATGAGTAGTTCAGCAGTGCCTAAGGGTCATTTTATTTCGTACCTTTAAGGTGAGAAAGTTAGTTTCCAAGGGTTGTGTCTATCACTTAGTCCGAGTTAATGAATCTAGTGTTGAGACACCTCATATTCAGTCAGTTTTAGTTGTCAGTGAGTTTCCAGAAGTCTTTCCAAATGATTTTCCCGGAGTCCCTCATGAGAGAGAAATAGACTTCGATATAGATATTTTTTCTGATACTCGTCATATCTCTATTCCTCCATATAGAATGGCACCAGCAAAGTTGAAAGAGTTAAAAGAGCAGTTGAAAGATCTCCTACAAAAATTTTTTATTCGACCAAGTGTCTAACCTTGGGGCGCTCCGGTCTTATTTGTGAGAAAGAAAGATGGTTCTCTTAGAATGTGTATAGATTACCGTCAATTGAACAAGGTTACTATCAAGAATAAGTATCCTCTTCTGATAATTGATGATCTTTTCAATCAACTTCAGGGTGCCATTTGTTTTTCTAA